ATATAAAGAATTGTGTCGTAGAAATATAAATAAACAAAATTTATGTGTTAGATATGTAAAAACAATTAGAAATTGTAAATGCCCTTATACATATATATAGTGGTAAATTGTTATTATTTTATATTTTATAAATTCTGTAACTAAAATAGTTTTACATAAATAGCCGGGGACTTTTGGCACTTTACACTCATTATTTTATATAGTATGTGATCCCAATATGAAGAATAAAAAAATAATTTAAATGTATTAAATAAGTTAATGATAAGGGTTTTTTTGTAATTTAAGGTATTATTTAGAAGGGAGGTGTCATAAGTTGGTCGTGTTGTCCCATAATTTGTTAAACTAACCTTCAACAACTCGTTAGGGCAAATTTCTATTTAGGCTTTCCTAAAGATAAAAATATAATAATAATAATAATAATTTACATGATCAAACCTATTCTCTCGATCATTTTCAAAAAAGCCCTCAAATTTTGAAGTGTTAACATGTGACAAGTTATAAATAATAATAAATAAACTTTTAAGATAATATTCAAAATAGTCGCTTACTATTTTAAAATTGAGCCCTAATAGTCTTCTATGAGATAGAGGAGTGTTTCAGCCCAATTTAAATGTTATGGAGATTATTTTGACACTTATAAGTTATAACCAACTTTTTGGTATTTTACTCTAAATTTTAATAAGCATGAATATATTATATGTAATTTGCATTTTAGGGAAATTTACATTGTTACCACACATTTCATTTAAATTTGCATGGTCTCTAGGCCTTATAAATTGATATTTACAGTTATAACACATTGGTGCTATAGAAGCATGCATAAACGAGTGAATTGAGGTCTTTTAAAAAGTTAATAAAATTATATTTTTTTATATAAATGTTATGATTGTAAATATTAAAGTCTGCTTCGTCCTCCTCTTCCCTATTTCAAAACATGGTCTTTAAGTCTTGTAAATTGACATTTACATTTATAACACATTGGTGCTATAGAAGTATGCATAAACAAGTGAATTGAGGTCGTTTAAAAAGTTAATTAAATTATATTTTTTATATAAATGTTATGATTGTAAATAGTAAAGTCTGCTTCGTCCTCCTCTTCCCTATTTCAAACCCGGGAGGTTCCCTTCTGCGCCTGTTCTCCCTATTCCCTCCCTCTTTTCTCCCCCATTTTAAGAGAGAGAGAGTGAAAATCTTTGGAGAGAGAGAGAGAGAGAGATGCCTCACAGAGGCTATGTTCTGATCTTTATCTTCTGGGCTCTGCTGGCCATGCTCACCCCAACTCTTATTATATGGTCGTCAACATCGCGAACCAATTCAATTTCAAAAGGTACTTGAAAAAAATCCAATCTTTCTCTTCTTCCATGGCGTGCGCTTCCTCTCTTTTCATTCATAATCTAAAAATGTGATTTTTATCTTTATCTTTTGACAGTGGAAGAGAGCCGGAGAATGGCGTCAAGAAAAATGGGGGATTCAATGGAGAAATTTCACGGGAAGAACAAAACAGAGGATGGAAAAATGTCCGGAGCTCCGCCGCCAGCTCCGGTGCCGGTGGCCGGAAATGAAAATTTGAAATTATGATATCATGCGGGCGAGGATTAATCTTCTTTGGATTATGAAAGCATAAAGTTCTAGGAGGAGCTTATGATTTTTATTTTTTTTTAAAGAATAATATGAGTGGAGAGAATGTGATATATTTTATTATTTGAATATCAACTTTAATTATTCAGAATAAATATTATCTCCAACAAGCAATCAAATCAGTGGGGAGATCAAAGAGAGATTGGAGGTCGCTGTCATCTTCCTCAACTTTAAGCTTTAATACTTAAATAGGGAAATTTACATATGTACCATCTGATTCCTATGTATTTAAATATTACTTTTTGTATTTTATATCACACAAAATTTCATATTACATAAAAGAAGTCCATCATTTTAGCTTTTAAGAAGTGAAATACATATTTTTCTTGCAGAGATAAAATGGCATGTAAGAAATAGAGTTAGAAGAATATTTGTCTCATTATAAACTTAGTATAAACCACTTTTTATCTTCTTTTACTTGCATTCCTAATTTCTTTACTATTTATTTTTTTGTCATTGATAAAAAGGCTTCTCATTTGTGTGTAAGAATTTTCATTTTCTTCTTTAAGTAATGCATTTCTCTTTGTTTCAAAGGGTACTTGCATGGAGCTCTTTTTTTTTTCTTACATATTTGATGCTTATAATGAAGTCAATATAGTTCAGTGGTTTTGAAAAGATATGTAAAATTTAAAATTCATGATGATTTCTATACACATTTGATCAAATAATAGTGTTGCGTGCTAGAAAATTCACGACGGTAGAATAATGGATTGTCGTTTTAGCGTTATACGAGAATTCAACACACACTCAGATAAAATAAAATCATTAGGAGTGACACCGAAAGTTTATGTGGAAAAACCCGTAAAAGAAAAAAACCATGAAATTTGACTTAGTTGTAAAAATCTACTATAAGTTAATGATATTAGAGAACTCGTCTCACGGACGGGAAAGAGATTTTATAAATTACAACGTCGGCGTGCAAATAATTTTTTTGTAAGTGGGCGGTAGCCAATGGCGATCGGTGGAGGTCGTCATGTGGTGGCCGACGGTGGTCAACGGTGTTTGGCGATGATCGATGACGGTCAACGGTAATCAATGACGGTCAGCGACAATCGACGATGACAGGAGTAGCGTTGGACTTCAGTTTCTTCTCAAAGCTTCATGTTTTTTTTTTCTCAAGCCTCAAACTCTCATTCCTCTCATGAGAGAGATGAGACTCTATTTATAGTGTTCTTGGTGCAATTAATGCAGGAATATGAAACATTTTGACCGAACGATCCAGAGAGTTTTATTCGATCATACAACGTTTAAAAAACATTTGATTGTCTTAATGATGTCAGAATTGAGCAATCATGTGCTTGCTCGATTAGTCTTGTTGAGACGCTCGATTCGACTATAAACTTGTTAGATTCGACATTCATTTGCTTTCTAAATATGTCCGGAAATCTTCTAAGTGTGGTTTAATGACTTGATATGCGCTTGAGTTGACTCAAATTGGACTAATTTTGATATCATTAGGTCCATCTCATCGAGTTGATTAGTTTTACTATAAATTTGCTGAAATTAGAGCTCTACATGACTCTTAAGTGAAGTTTGAATGTTTATTACTCAAAAGATTGCCTCGAGATTCATACCGAATGATAAAAATTTATAGGTTGCTTATCAAATAGAATCATGAAGAACTTCTTATTTTTAAAACGTGTTTTCTAACATTTGGTGTTTACAAAGATTTTTATTAGCATTTTAAGTAGATTAATATAAAAGACAAAGAACTAAAATGTAAGATGGACTATGCTTTTTTCTTAAATTATGTTTTTTTCTCGGACTTACGAGTACACTTTTATTCAATGGTAGTGGTTATATATGTTGTTCGAAATGAAATAATACTAAAAACTAAGCAATTTTGCATATCTACTAAAAGATTTTTCTCCTAGTATGGGACCAAAAATTTGAAAACTAGATAATTTAATGCAATTAATATGATATAATGTAGAGTATTTTGAATTGACTTTTTTTGTGGGGGATCCAAGTGATCATATGATTTTGAATCAAGCATGATAAGTCATCATTCATGAATTGAATTGACCCATCAAGACTCAATTCACGTAAAACATAGATTTTGTTTGAATCTCAATACTTAGTTACTAAACACACCCTAAAATCATATATCATTAAGATTTTCACCCGCAAATCTTGACTGATTTTTTGAAGTACTTGTCTACCAACTAGAAGACGTTAATTGCCAAACAAACTTGTCTAGGATATTCTCCCTCAACACGGAAGTCATCTGGAGTTCTCACCTATATTTCATTATGTTTGATCCAAATGTATAGCAAGCTATTGATGTTATTGTACATACAACAGTGTATTGAACAATCTCAATTATGTGACAGGCATGGATTAATGCCTAAGACAAATAAACTTACTCTTATCATACGGAGGGTGTTTGATCATATAAATTAGAAAAGCAACACATGATTGTTACAAACACGCAACTTTCTTGAAAGGGTGGTTCAGTTGCTTCCCTAGGCTATCATTGAACATGCAACTTTCTATTGATGATATGGAGGGTGTTTGATCATATAAATTAGAAAAGCAGCACATGATTGTTACTAACACACAACTTTCTTGAAAGGGTGGTTCGGTTGCTTCCCTAGGTTATCAATGAACTTGCAACTTTCTATTGGTGTTATTGTATATACAACATTGTATAGTTTTGGAAAGCCATTTCTAGTATGTTCTTAACTTGGAACAACCTAGAACATTTCTCAAGTTAGTAGCGCATATAATAATCATATTAAAAAAGTATAGTATAGTCATGAAACCCCAATAGAGATTTGTGAAATGAAATTACATAACTATTGACTCAATAAAAGCTTGTTTAGCAACAACAATTGTCATAACTCTATCTCATACGTCGTATTCTTGATGTGACCAAAAACAACACAGAGGTCAGCCCTTCGAAGGATGTACTATGCCTAAGTTGTCAAGGCAAGGACGCCTTAAACAACCGAGGCATAGATAGATGCATCATGCCTCAAACTCCATTTTCTTTGGAGATATTGATCACCTACTCGAATGTCGGCCGAATTGCCATAAGAACCTCTACTAAATACCATAGTGATAGTGTTCTTCTCGATAGAAGATAGAATTACATTCTCTTTTAGTAGACAGAGAGAACTATTTAGCACACATTAAAATAATTTGCAGCGTACCTTTTATAAAGAGAGAGAGGACCATTTTGAAACTTTTCTAAAATATTAATCAATAAAACATATATTAATCAAACCATGGTAAAGAACTGAAGAAAGATTTTCACATAAAAAATCAGAACAGTTCATGCATAGATCCCAAAATACACAATACTCATAGATCATCAGTCCAACAAACAGACAGAAGATCAAGACATCACAGAAACAGACTTCAAACAAGGATGCAAAGATGAGCAAAACAGCAACACAATAACAGAAAATTTTCATAGGACTTTTCTGAAAAACTTGAGGAGGAGATAATTGTAAACTTTATTTACAGAACACGACTGAGATATTCCTCAACTGTAGTGTATTTGACTTCGGGATAGAGCTCAGTGGCTTCAGCAGCAATGGCTGGGTCAATCTCAAAGCTGAGACAATCTCCTTTCACAAACACCAGGTAATTTAGAGCAAATATTACGTTGAAAGGGATCGGTGCTTCTGCAACACATAAACAATGTTCAATAATTTATTAGAATGAGCATTAAAGGGGCATTAACATAAATACCACCCAATTCCTATCTATTATATATCTAACATCTAAACTTCAATTTTTACACATATGTCAGCTTACCTATGCATGAAAAGGTGTATTTTTGAAGTGACCTGAAGGATTTGGGTGGTGTAAATGTAAGAAGTAAAGTTTAGGTGTGAGATATTTAAATACATGGAAATTGGCTGGAATGTATGTAAATGCATTTTTATTATTTAAAAAAATTGTTTTGGGCATTATAAATTTTGTTTTCATATGATGAATGGAGAGCTTGCCTTGGATAATCTTAAAAATTTCTTCATCCGAGAGATAAATCCTCTCTAGGGTTTTGCCGGTCTTCTTCTCCCAAAGAGAGATTAGCTCGTTGTGAGAGTAGATGCAACCAGGGGGCCTTATGTAGACAATCTTGTTTAGGGTTCTTGGATCATTAGCTGCCTTGATGGTATATATGCCAATATCATCTTCATCAACAAAAACACCTGAAAGCCAGAAGGTTAAAAATGAATTATGCTCTTTAATGAAGGGGGTAAAGGGACAAATTAAAGCATGATTAATCAATCATGAAAATAAATTTAAAATGAGGTTTATGAAAAGATATTTATACAAAAATAATGTATGAATTTTAGGAAGATTTGCATGCATATCACCCCAATTCCTATGCATTTAAATGTTTAATACCTAAACTTTGATTTTTACATATATGCCAACTTGCCTATGCATGAAAATATGTATTTCACAGTTTTTAAAAGTTAAAATTAGTGATTTTTTTTATGTGATATGAAAGATTTGGGCGGTATAACTATAAAAAGTAAAGTTTAGGTGCTCGATAGGTAAATTTATCGAGATTGAGAGGTACTTTTGTAAACGTCCCTAAATTTTATTTATACAAAGAAAAGATGAAATTTTACCCCTCCAAATTTTATTTTTATATCCATTGATTGTGATGTACAATATAAAAATTATACATGGACCAAATTTCATCAATATTCAAAAAAAAAACTAACCATTCATTAAGCATTCAAAAAAAGAAAAAAACAATAATGATAGAATGGTTAAAAATGAAAAACACTTCTCATTGTACATGGCTTCTATCACCATCTTTTTAAAAATAAAATATACTTCTCATGCATAAATTTTTGACACCAAGGTATTATAGGTAAAAAAATCAAATTATGGGTGTTAGATATATAAATACAAAAATTGTGTGGAATGTATGTATATTTTCCAAATAAATTTTGGTTGAGAGGAGAACGAGGAGAATGAATACCTTTGGTGTTTCCATCACCAAAGATGGTGATTTTGTCAACGGGAGGGCTGGCTTGAGCCAAGGTGGGGAGGGAGTAACCGGCGAAGTAGTTGTTAGAGATGATCGTGTAG